ACACAACATACATGTAAGTGCATGTATGTGTATCAGAAAAGTTATAAAATGGAGAATTCTCTCTTTTTAATTTTAACAAAATTTGGCTTGAGAGCATGTTATAGTACAGTGACTTTGACCTGGTTTTGAGCAACATACTCATGTCAATTTTGATCACAATCAACTTAAACTTCCCCCTCTCTCTCTCTCTCTTCCTTTCCATTTCTATTATTTTAGTCAATAGCAAGTCCTGCTATTAAAGAAACCTTGATTGCAGTTTGGGGACAATATAACAATATATTTATACTTGATCCTAATACACTGGAGGTATTATTATTAATTATTGTTATTGTTTCCATGTGTACTATTATCAAGAGTAGATAATAAGGATTTTCAGATTATTATTTATTTTTTTATTTTTGTATTTGCAGTTCATTTGTGCTTTGAAATCCTCTCACAATCCAAACTGGATATCACAACTTATCGAAGGTAATACAGAAGGTAATGTACATGTACATATAAATCAGACCTGCACTGGTCAATTACAATTGTAACTGTAATTAAAGGCTCAATTAGGATTACATAATAATTGTAATTGAGGCTCAAGTCTGAACAGAATGTAGTTGAAATTTTTATCAAAATTGGCTTGTCATAAATATACTGACTACCAACTCAATACAGGCATTGAGTAATTTACCTGCCACATTTGCCGCATTTAATAATATATTTTATATAGTTATACTTTCTTGTTATTTATTATCATTAGCTGCAGGTGTGGAGTCTATCATTGGTAAGCTTCATTGAGAGGAAGGTTCTGCTGCTCCTGATTTCAAGTCTCATTTCACTGGCTCTCTCTCTGACTCATGGCAGTCCCCAGCCACTCCTTGTTCCCTTATTGACTCAGTTGTCAGTTATCATATTCCTGGGAATTCCCAACCATTGCAATCATTACATGCTCAATGGGACATGGCCACAAATTGCCAAATTGAAGCCCTGCCAATCAACAAAATTCACCAAATTACTCCCTCCAATATTACCAGCCTTACATGTACATGTACAATGTATTTTACCCTCTTTTTCAACCCTCCATCTCTCTCATTCTTTCTATTATATGATCTTTCTATTCTATTTTTTATTTTAATGTTTTTAATGTATGTTAATTCTTTATATTTTCTTTCCCTCTGTAGTCTGTCTGTCTCTCTCTTTCCATTACTATCCCAGTATCAGTGCTGGTCCTTCTTCCAATATTACTGTTTCTTTTTTTTGACACAATTCGTTTGGTTGATCTGTGGATTGTCCAATGGTGGTATTATAGTTCTATCAGGAGCTCAAGCAGCTACCAAACTCTTACTAGCCAAGAGAAAGTTCTCAAGAGGTACTCTGCATACAAATGTACAATAATTGTATACATGTCCATGTACATGTACATGTACATGCATTCATACATGTACATGTACATTGTAATTACATGCAATATGAATAGGATATTTTTCTGTAGAAATAGTAATACCAAGTGTTTATCATGCCTGTAGTCTGCTTATGTACAGTGGTACATGTACATGTACATATCACCTTTTTTTTCATTTCCTCTCTCTCTCTTTCTCTTTCTCTCTCTCTCCTCTATAGCATGGTCTCAGTATTATTTCTTAAGAGGTCACAAGAGGAGAGTCCCCTCCTGTTGTATCCTGTGACTATAGCACTGCTTATGATACCAATCACTTGTTATCTGGTGGTCCTGATTTCTCTGTTAGATTGTGGACCTCTTCAAAGGAATATTGTTCCACACTATTGCAGTTCATGGTGGGGTGGTCATTAGCATTGTAGCATGTCCTCCTCATATTAATGTAAGCTTTGCTCTCCCCCTCACTCTTTCTCTCTCTTTCTCTCTCACACCAAAGCATTCAATTGCTAATACATGT